TCTGTAAAATCTCGGTAGATACTGGGGAGAGTACCGAACTATCTGTGAAATCTCGGTAGGGTACTGGGGTCTGACAGATCTTCTTTGTAGTGATCTGTCGGTACTTACAGAGGGAAAATACGGCCGGTACCGATCTGTGAGTACCCTACAGAACGGACCTGTGCAAAAATATTGAAGCGCGGTGTTCCAACGATGCGGCCCCAGGGCTTGCACAAGTGATATTGATTGAACAGGATGATACAGCCATCTCAATTGCGAAATATCAAACAATATGTCAGCTTGCACTCAGAATGGCGCCTTCTGTGCAGCCCCTTCGTGTCGCTGTTCGGGAATCAGAGTAGAACAATATTGGCCCAAAAAAGGGCATTTGTTTTTGGCATTTTTTGTGGCATTTTTTTCAGCCCTCAATGGCATCTTCCGCGTCCTCACCCAGCCACTCATCCGTCTGCTCCTCCACTCCATCCTCTATCTCATCCTCGGCCGTAGCCTCTTGGTACTCTGCCACTGGATACTCAAGGCTACCGATCGTACCGCTCAGGTTTCCACCATACAGGCCGATCCACTCGTCCATCTTGCCAATGGCATGCTGCACCAACTTTCCACAGTTGGCTGCCTTCCACCACCCCTCCTGACTGTCCCATTCCGGGTCTCCATAGCAACCGAGACGGATTTGCTTCCAGACATCCAACATGTTCCGCCCCTTCTCAAAATGAATGCTCAAGTAATGCTTGCCGTGCTGCCAGAACAGCTCAATCGGCTGGAAAGTCGGCATGTACGGCGGTGTCCAAATCAACCCCCACCCCTTCTCCCTCATGTACGTCTCAGCCTTTTTCTCGAGCTTTTGTGGAAAATTCTTTTTGAAGTACGTCCGAGTGACGGAGGCTATCTCTTCTTTGCTGACGCCGTTCTTGCGGTTCGCATTGGGTAGCGACCCCTGCGCCGGGACCTCAAAGTTGTACTCAGCAGCCTTACCCTCCGACTCACGCGTCACCTTGAACGACGTGCAACCGTACTTGCGCAAGAG